GTCTCTCTGCGCCAGCCCAGCCATGACCCCAACAGTATCAAAATTTCATACCTTGGCTATTCTTTAGACCTAGTCAATCATCTTCACAAAATTTAATTATTGAACCATCACCAACTCTAAGGCTCAATTTGGAGAGAGTACAAATACAAATATGCACAGTGCAAAACCTTACATTTTATATTATTTTGTAGGTATTTGCAGTATACATATTTGTATTTATACTTCTTCCAAACTGAGCCTAAAGGACGCAAGATTAAGAAAAACTGATTGGAAATACATAATTCCTTTCTACGCACTTACTCAATAAGATGTCTTCACTTCTCTAGATTCCTATCTGAATCCAAAAACCCATATTTGAAAGACACCACCCTTCTCGAAAGTACCTCCCTCTTCAATCCAAATCTCTATAACCATTTTTGTAAAAAGAAAACCTTTATATCCCATTTAACTAAGTGGAATTTCTTTTTCAACCCTTTAACTTCCCACGGGAAGTCCTTTTGTAGGTTTTGAATTGAGTTTATCATTAGTAGATGGTGCCTTTAAAAGTGAAAGGTAGTAAACCTACAGATTCGATAATAATGATTACCCTTCCGCCAAGAGGTAGAGACCTTCCTTTTCAACCTGCCACTTCTTTATTAATCATGTTAAGAACTGGTTGACAAGTAGAGGAGATCGAAGCTTTTTCCCCACTATGGAGGCCCAAATAAGTAAAGGAGAACTCTCCCACCAAATAACACAAAGAGGATGCACAATCCTCCTGTGGCTATCCGACCAAGAGGAGGCACAAATGGAATATAGAGTTAGAGTCGCCATCTAAATTTTTAGCAATTCGAGAATTTAGGAAAATTTGGGATTTTTCAAAAAAAAAAAGTTAAGGTTTTCTTAGTGACTTGTTGTCTAAAAGGGATGAGATGGGCCATAGTACGGTACTGCAAGAAGGTATTAGGCACCCCACACTCGCTCGATTAAACCAGCCTCCACTTTACCAATTACAATAAAATTTTCATAATTTTAAACTTGAATATAATTCAAATTAACACACACATCAAGTATAAAAATTTATCATAGGAACGAACACAAAGTTGCAATTCTAATTATTCAAACAAAATTAAATACTAGAAGCAAGCAAAGACAAAATGTTCCAATGGCAAACTTCCGTAACTACATGATCGGACAATGTATGAACAAATCAATCATATACTTAAAAAAATGGTGCAAGATGGCAAGGAATAACCTATTATCCTGGGGACCAAATCCAAAGAGAAATGTATGTTGAATGATGTAAGAATCGCACTGGATATTTAGAATAGGCAAGAATTGAAAATTTTTGACAAATGCAGAAATACCCAAAATTTAAATGTGGTTCAATGCTTATGTTAAGTCAAGAAGAAACTCCCTAAGTAGGAATAAATCCAAAGTGAAGGCAAATTGATTCCGAAATAAAATAAAATAAATAAAAGTTCATAAGCATGTGAGAGCAAATGCTTGGGAAGTCCAGTATGCTATGCAATCTAAATGGTTCTATCTTCAACAAAAAAGTCCCATTGAAACGTATCCACAAAGCAAATCCAATACTTCAAACACAATGAATTATGTTTTCTACCCTCTAAAAAGACCTACCATGATAATTGAATAACCCAACCATGAAATTAAAAAAAAAAAAGAAAAAAAAAGACAAGGACACTGATTTAACGAGAGTTGACTAAAAATTATCTAAGAGAAAACATTGGAACAAGGTTCTAAATATCGATATGCCGGTAGGGGTGTATCGTTAACGTTCCTCCACCTCTAAATCGGTCAAAACCCTGATACACCCTCTTTATGCATGGACCCCATGTAAAGGCTGATACATAGCCATTAATATAATGACAAGGATTAACATGTTCCTATCCTATTTTGAATAACATTGTTCATGTGATGAGGGTGCATGGATAAGAAATTGTCTAAAGAAAGAAAAAGAAAATGACTCTAATTCGAACTGATTGTCATTATAAGCAAATAGATCCACTCTTGAGTGCTCACGGGATTCAAAAAGTCATATAGAATGTATCCCATGTATAGATGATCTGATGAAAATCTGTGGTGTCTGCTGTAATAGCGTTGCTTTAAACATGTTTTGGCTTCCTTCCTTGATAATTTGCGCGACGTGGGGGTTTCTTGCACTGATACTAATATGGGTGGATCCAAGGGATGTGAAAGATGATATAGGGAGTGAGTTTAGGACATGGGTTAGGGAAGTTTGGAGCTGAAGGGGGTTATTCTCTAGGCTAATGGGGGTAGAGTTCTCTCCCTAAACTAGATTGCGTGTAGAATGTGAGAAAGGAGGTATTTATAGATTTTTGAGAAGAGAATGAAGGGATGAGATAGGGCCAAGGGAAATCAAGAGCTAAGGTTTAAAGATTTTTTTTTTTTTTTTGGAAGGGAAAGGACTGCCAAGACAGCTTTGTGGGAGATTTCTCTCAATCAATCAAGGCAATAAGAGGAAAATTTCACCAATTTAACTAAATTGGACATTCCAAGTTTGCCTTGATTGACTAGAAGCTCCTTAGCTGGTTAAACCTTTGTATTTTAAGATAGTTTTAGAGTTTGAGAGGAAAGTTTGGTCGTGGGATGCCCTAGGTTCAAAGTTGTAGTGAAGATGATTCCAAACGGAAGGCCCAAATCGAGTTTAGCTTTGGGTCTCAAGATTGATGGATTATCGGTGTCGGAATTGAACGATCTTGGTACTGTTGGACTCGGAATTTTGAGATCTATTCATCTATAATGTTGGATTTCATATTTGTGTGGGGTATGGTTCAGGATAAAAAATGATCCTGATTGGATGATCAAAATCGGTTCTAGCTTCAGGTCTTGAGATGAAGGGGCAAACAGTGTTGAATTCGGGTGGTCTTGGTGTCATTGGATTTAGATTGTTGAGCTCTACTTACCTATGATCTTGGATTCTTGAGGCCACAAATTTTGTAAAATTCCAAGAATGCCCCCAAGTTGGCTAAGAGGTTTGCTGAAGCATTCTTGAAGCTCGAAGTGATGTAGAAAGACTAAAGGGCACAAATGGGGTGTCTACACCTCCAATAGAGCATCAGGGATATCACCCACCTCATCACACTCTTCTTCAAATAAAATAATATTTTAATACTTATTATATTTTAATAATAAAACAATTGAATAGATACAGATGTTTTGATGGTTTTTGGAACAAACTAAGTAATATTTTAATATTTTTATCAAAAGGCCTGTATCTCATTAATTATTTTGTACTTTTCATTTCAATCACTTTTAATTTACTATTCATCTTTATTCTTCCTCGATTCTTACATTGCAACATTTCTTCTTCGCAGCTTCTCTTGTTTTGGTCCATTGCAACTTATAAGTTTTAATGTTAATCTCCGTTTTTTCATTCTTTTTTTTATTTTTTACATACAAGTGTTTTTTCATTCTTTGTTTCTTAGTCCCTTTCTCTCTCTCTCTTCCTCTCTCCCTATCTCTTGCTCTCTTTCCCTCTTGATGTTGCAGAGCACAAGAACATGGTAGACAATCACTCTATTAAAGACCACACTAATGGCGACGCTTGTTGTAGTGACATCAAATAGATGGCTATGATTAAAAAAAAAATTTAATTTGTTTTTCGAAAATTAGATCAACATTGAATGAAAAAAACTTCAAACCAAGTTTCTTATTCCTCCCCTCTTGAATAAATGACGCATTCGATGAATTGCTTTAAGAAACCGCCGGATGTCGAATCAAATTCATATTTATGAGGATTCATTGGGTGTAAAAAACTAGGAAAAGCTCTCGATTAGTATCCTGTACATTGTGCCTAGTGCCACTTTGGTCCACTGTAAAACAGACAATTCAGTACTCAACTTTCAAAATGTGTCAATACAATACCTACCATTAACCAACCATTAAGTGTCATTTGAAATGACACAAATGCCCTAATGTCATCTAATTTTCACAAGAAATGATCGAACAGGTCCTAATGTTAGTGCATTTAGATAATTACGTGTGTATCTAAAATTTATTGCAAGTTTTTCTTCAATTTCTGGTATTTATAATATAGGCCTATGTAATATAATTTTATTTAGAAAAATTTTCGGTTTTTTTGTTTACCATGCAATTTCTGTTCTTTTGGTGGAAATTTATTATTTTTGAATGATATATATATATAGTCAACTTCAGATATACGGTTGACCCAACCTGGTTCTACAAGTAGCAGTAGACATATGAAAGAACTCTGTTCTCTAATTTTTTCTTTTTTATGATAGATGACTAAAATTGGTTGATTTAGGCATGGACATTGACGCAAGCCAATTTTAGCATGAAAGCTTACAAATCTTTTTATTAATTGGTCACTTAACAGGTGTAGGTCGACCCACAGATTCTGCCATGTGGCACTATGAACAAAGGTTAGAATTCTGTTTTTAGAAGTTAGTCGATTGCAGGTAAATGGATTGACGCAAAAACCGTATGTTGTTCCTTTTTCCTTGCTCGCTTTTTTTTAACGAGAAAATTCCAAAGGTTTTGTTCTCATTAATGATGGGTTTACATAATTTTAAAACTTCCAATGGATAAGCATAGGTGAGTTAGGTTGGCTTGCAATCCATGTAGGCATTTTTTGAGTTGAAACCAATGCAGACCAAGGTTCAAAATATCGACACGTATCGTTCCAGGACGCCACCGATACGCCCCTATAGTGGGTGTATTGGGGGTCTGACTGGTTCAGGGGATAGAGGAGACCAAAACCGGCCCGCTAGAAACGATTTCAGAAAAAAATAAAAAAAAAACTAAAAAAATTGTATCAATTCGGCCACCGGCATATCGGCCTATCGATTTTGAACCTTGATGCAGACATTAAAAGTATGGGTTAACCTAAAAATAGATGTCTGTGGTTAGTGGATAGGTTAGCCTACAACCCGAATGCAACCGAGCCCAACCCATATCGTGTAACCTAAGAAAGTACAAAAAATGTAGTGTTGTGTGTGTGCGAGAGAGAGAGAACATAAATAAAATCACTATCATCATCAAACATTTTCCTCTTTCCCATGGTCCAAAAACAGTACAAGTAGAACCAGCCACCTGAACCAACCTGACCACCAACCAATCCAGGAAACGTGGAGGTTCTTCAATCTCTAACTTTACAAACCAGCATATAAAAACAACTGCTCTACATGGAATCGACTAAACATAACAGTGATAGATAAAGGATTAATCATTGTCAGAATAAAAAAAAGCCAGCATAAAACTAGGTTACTATTTAGAGCCTGAAGCTGCTGTACCCTCCGACACCAGAAGATCCATACCCACCAAATGCTTGTGTTGACAAGGAAGATGAAGGATAGGACGTATTGTTCAACTGAGAATAAGACCTCAACCCGCTGTCAACTTTGCCGTAGCTGTTTGTGACCGGCTCTTTGTGACTACTAATAAATTCCTGCAAGCATAAAGAAAAAATAACATCAGCAACCAGCTCCGCAGGTACTTTTCATCCCTTGAAAATGAATCAAGGAGATTTAATGGTTGATTTGTTCTTTTTTCTGATGTGGCAGTTGTTAACAACCACATTGGCAAAAACCACCCAAGTTTTCGGATTTCACGAAACTGTCAACAGACAGCAACAACCAATTAAAAAGCAATTGCACAAAAATCCAATGTTGATAAGTTATTCCTATCAGAAAACTCAGTTTTTGTAATAAAATAAATTTTTTGGGTTTGATGACAACACTCTGCTTCAACAATCTCCCCACCCCACCAGAAAAAGAAAACCACTTTGAGGAACACTTGGGTTCTCTTAGCCTGATCAAATAAATAAATAAAACATTAGGCCCTCTTTAGGTTCACAACATGAAGAGAGCCTTGTATCCCCTAACGCTCAAAAAAGATTTATTGCTCTTCCTCACAGCTTTTGGGGCTTAAGCAATGCATCCTCAGGGTTCAATACTAAGGATTTTCAGAAAGGTCACAAAAATGACATTGCTTTCAATCAAGATGCTCAGAAAGCTGAAGTCGCAAATAATAATAGGAGGCAGACGGAAAAAGTGCTCTACAGCCCTACTGTAAAATTGCAACTTCCTTTGGTTCCACCTCCGGGCCAGTCCAAGAACCCTGATGGAAACCCTCACACACTTCAGCCAGCAGGCACCAGTCAAGCCCTTACTAAGGCCCAGGATGGGATCTGGCCACAGCCCGCAACTTCACCCACTAACCATTTATCCACAAAAAAAAAAAAAAAAATCAATCTTCACCTACAAACCAATTCATCATGTGTAACCAGAACACGTCTGCAAAATTAGTTGGGATTTGCAGACTGCAAGCAAGTTAGTTAGATTTAATGACCAGAATGTAATGAAGTATAAATGCAGGCAGGAAAGGAATGAAAAAGGAAATTGCACAGAACTGGTATCAATGCCTATTTGTCTCTGTCTGCAAGAGGTCAAACCCCCTCAAAGTGGTTCTCGGTTGAGCAGTATCTCAACAAAACTGGTATCAGAGCAGAAAAAACACCATGACTCACTCGAGCTGCATCAATGAAGGATTGATTAAATGGATAAGAGTTAAGTGCGTCTTCATAAGTTTGTGGAAGAACTCTGAGAAAGATCATGCCACAGAGGTGGATATATTGCCAGATCTCCAAAGATGGATTTCCCTATCTTTACAAGTGAGGATCCTATCTCGTTGGTCTACAATGCATAAAGATATTGTAAATATTATGAGATCCCGGGTCGCCAATGAGTGCAATATCATCTATTTACCTGAATGGAGAAGCCATCCAATGGTAACAGCACTCCCATCCCTATGTCACATGACCAGATTTCACCAACGCTATATGTCTGAGATCCAGAACATTTGGTTTGAAGGATTACAAAGAGAATCTCTTGAAACTAAGACTAACAGTCCCAGTGAGGGATTATCAAATGGAATTCAAAAGGTATGCCATGCATGTTCATGGCTATAGCCACAAGCCTAGCTTGAATCCAAGAAGAGCAGTTCAACCACCTAAAGAAACTAATAGCTCATTTCCAATTATACCAAATCCTCCCAAATGGCCTCATCTATCTTGATGTAGATATAATGGGTCTAGGGCCCAAATTAACATACCATATAAGAGGCTAACCTGGGCTGAGATGCAAGTCCAGAAGGGCCTATACAATAACCACAATAAGAAACTAACACTGGGTCATTGTTGCAAGGCCCAACAAGTATTCCTTCTACAAGCTGATGATGGATACGACTCTTTGATGAATTGTAATGAGGGTTCAACTCCCGCAACTGAAATGTCAGGCCAGTTGAAATCAAAGCATCTTGAGATTTCTCTTCAAGCTTTAATCAAGATGGCATTACCTCAAACTATGAGGGTGAAGGGTCAGCTGATGGGCTGAAATAGTTTCTGTACTCATTAACAGCGAAAGTTCTCCAACTAAGCATCTACTCCTACTTGTGCTATCAATAAGCCCATTTAAAGTTCATGTCGCCAATGGTAATCATCTTACTTGGGATATGGGCTATGCAAAGGTGTCAAGCTCAAGGTCCAAGGGCAATAGTTCTTAGTTGAAACAATACCCACTGGAATCAAGTGGATCAGACATCATTTAGGAATTCAATGTTTACAGAAATTAGGTCCCACGGTTTATGATTGGACACAACTAACTATTGATTTCTCATTGTGTGAAATTAGTCATCACTTGAAGGGGGCCTAACCAACACCCTTGTAGGCTGAAGCCTTAGGTCAGGTACTGAAGCACTGCCAAACAGAAAATTATCGAATACAGATGTACCTAGAGGATTGGACTTGACCAACCAAATGTAATCAAACCATGCTAAGGACATAATAACTGATGATGGGAAAGGGGCCTCACCTAGCTTCTTCACGAGTACTATGATATTTTCAATGAGCCCCAAGAGACAACCATATTAGGCCTGTCAACACCCAATTTTGGCTGCCCCTAAAACACCAAAATATATATTATTTTTTGCCCCATTTTAAATTTTGAAGTAAAAAAACTAATATATATATATATATATAAGGTGGAAGGTTCAACGTATCGATACGCCCACCAATACACCCTTTCCGCCATATTGGGTGTATCGATACTTGAACATTGCCTGAAAGTTAAAACATTCCACAGGAATTACTTAAACAGCCCCTGAAAATTGCTTAAAAATCCCCTATGACACTCTCCTTGGAAGCCAAGACTCCAAATGCTGCCATCAATCCTGAAATGCCTTAAAATCTCCACCCCACAAATTTCAACCCAAACTTACTTGTTTACCCCTTCATAGAACTACAATTCCATATCAGCCATTTTTATTGGCCAAACTGCAAATCTGCCACCTAGACACTTCCCTTGACCAATCAGCCTCTACATTGGATTGCAGATACAATAAAACCCTTGCCACCAATTTCCACTTCAAGATTCCCTCATTAACCCTTTAAACAAAACAAGATTAGATTTTAGCTTCTCATTGGCCAAGACAAACTATCATCAAATCACGACAATCCAGATGTTTTGAAACCCATTTAATGCTGCTGCTGAATCCAGGATCCTAAAATACATGGGGCCCACCAAACTTCAGTAAAAACACTTCCGTTTGCCCCTCAAACTAAAAAGATACCACATTGTGCATTTCTGTTAGTTGAACAACATTTACTGCATTCTATCTAGGGCTGTCAATGGGTCAGGTCTGGGTCGGATCCGATTAGAACTGGAAAAGGCCCAACTAAAAATACTAAAGCACCAGAACCAAACCGGACCCGATAAGGTCTGTAATAGACCAAGAACCAACCTGATCAGTTGTTGGAGCAATCGGGTCCAAGGTTCTAAATATCGATAAAGGCTGATATACCGGTAGGGCGTATCGGCCTGTATCGGTGCTTTTTTATGTTTTATTTATTTTTTTCTCAAAAACCGGTTCCAAGGGGTCGGTTTAAGTCCCAGACACCCTCTGGGACGTATCAGGAAGGCCCCGATACAATACGTAGCAGCCGATATGGGCTGATACGTAACGATATTTTGAACCTTGATCAGGTCTGACCTGATGGACCCGATTATAATAAACCGATTGAAAATATTATATGGATATATTATATAGCTCGGATCGGTCTGAATCAATTTGGGACTGGGTGGAACCAGTTCCAGACCAATAATAATCAGGATCCAGATCCAACCTAATCGGGACTTGATATCTATTCACTTGGAAGAAGTGTATGACTAGAAAAGTGATATAGTACTTTGAGAGAAAAAAGGGTTTTAAGTACTGCTATTATCAAGTATGTATGAAGAGGAATTAACCGGTTTAAAATTTTGAGACAATGATATGAGAGGATTTCCGATCCCAATGGGACTACACAGTCAAAACTTTAACACAAAAAGGAGAGTCAGAACTTAATCATACTCAAACCGTACTATTTATAGATAAATTAACAAAATATTTACAGGTGCCATGGTGGATATATATTGATTCATTGAAACAACTGTAACATGGGAGAAAAAGGGTTAGGTAACAGAAGCTAGCCAAAAACCATGGGTTGCCTGTCACTATTCTGTATGTAAAAAGATTGATTGGAATATATCGCTAGCTGAAATACATGCTTGGCATTGCAGAAAACACCTTACAAAGCATGCCCAGAAACAAATCATAATCTAAGAAAGATGCTGACAGTTACCTGAATAAGTTGTTGAGCTGTCTGAACCTGTGATGAGGTGCCCTTTATTTCCACAGTAATCTCATCTGGGTGGCCCCTACTTTCCTGAACAGTGAGAATGGCTCCACTGCTACGGCGAATATATGCAATATTTGCTCCTCCAATCCCAATGATGTCCTCTGCATAAGAAAGTGGTATTTGCATTGTCTGTGTAATCTGAATCAAAAGAACCACGAATTAGATAATGGTATCACAAACAAGACCATGTCATGTACAGTGGCAAACTAGCCACAAATTGCACAGCCAAAACCACCTAATAGAACACAATAATCAAATTGACAAAAAGAAATAAACAGAAAGAAGAAACAGCATAGATTCTTGTTGCCAGAAATATTAATCATCAAACTATATTAATAACAAATTGTCAAACTAATCAGTAATTGACATAAGAGTAAGGGATTTGAGGTACCAACATCAAAAGAAACCATTAAATATCGGATATTCACCAACATGGGACCAATTACTCTAGCAGAATGCATATATTCCATAGTAGGCAACAGAAGTCACACCACAAGCTGTATTTGGCTGCCTCATATGTCCAAATACATCAACTTACAGGAATTCAAATTTAATCAGGTCTCTAATTCAAAAAGCATGTTATGGCAGTATGTCCAAATACATCAATTTACAGGAATTCAAATTTAATCAGGCGGACCAAGGCCAGGCTTAGACCTACCAGACCTGGGTTGGACTGGGCTGAGTTCCAAAGTTATGACCAAATGTATGAAAATAAAATATTTTATATTATATTTTTTGTTTAAATATTTAGACAAACAAGAAAACATAAAAGACACTTTACCAGAGAGAGAGAGAAGCAACACCAAACAAACCAAAACCAAAGGTAAGACCAGAGACCAAAGAAACTCAATTTTCCATGGTGGAGAGTTTGGAAAATGGAGACTGGTAGCAACTAGCAAGCTGAATGGTAGTGGAGAGAGTAGAACTTTGAAGACTAGCCCAAGCTCAGCCTACAAATTTAAAGGCTTGATGTAGGCCTGAGCCAAGCTGGGCCTGAACACAAAACCCTAGGCCCAAACCCTGAAGTCTGTGGGCTGGGCCAAGTCGGGCTGAGAATGACCACCCCTAATTTACATTGCAAAATGTCTATATCAAAATTATAAGCATTGCTCTTCTCACCAAATAGTCTCTTGTTCTCAAAAAGCTTAACTATTTTCAATGTTTTAAAACGCGGAGGTGTGACGCCAGGCGTTCCACTACCTAGAGGCATGAGGCGTAGTTCAGAACACAAGAGGCGTAAGCCTCCCGAACACAAGGAGGTGTAAGCCTCCTTAAGAGGAGGGGATTAGGAGGAGGATGAAGAGGAAGGGGGGATCTCATTTTTCTTTATTTTTAATAAAAAACTTTTATATTAAGAAGAATAAAGATGCATAACATTAGTCGAAGGGGGGGGGNAAAAACAAGGATGGAGTTTCAGTTTTATTTAATTAGAGAGAGAATAGAAAAAAAGAACTTTATTATTCTATTCTTTCTTTCCTCTTTATTTTCTTTCTTTCTTTTTCTCTTCTCAAAACCCTTTGATCTTTTAAATTTCAATAGTAAAACATTAAAACAAAGTATAATTGATATATATAGCATATAATAAAATGTATTAACAGATACATTAATATGACACACCAATAAGCACTTATTGGTGTTCGGGAAATAAGCCCGAAATATTTATTTGAGAAGCCCAAAATTCAGGCTTATTTTTAAGTACTCATTCAATAAGCGCTTATTTCCTTTTCTGGCCTATCTTGGCCTGCCACATCATTTTGAAAATACCTATACTACCCCTATTTGAAATAAGTGCTTTTTCACTAAACACTTATGAACACTTATTAAAATAAGCACCTAGTTTTAAGCGCTTATTTTTCAAATAAGCACTCTCAAACTTGGCCTTAGATTAAAAGGAAAATTTTATAAAACCGTTGTAAGGCTAGTTATGTTGTATGAAATAGAGTGTTGGTTAGAAACCTAGGAGTAGCTCCAATAAGTGATAAAATGAGAGAGTAGGCTAAGATGGTTTCGTCACATGCATAAAAGACCACCAACCATGGTTCAAAGTATTGATACGCCCCTGTGTATCGGCAGAGGCGTATCAGTACTAAAAAATACCCGCTCAATGGGTTTTTTTTTTCAAAATTTGATTTTTAAAGATGTTTTTAATGGTTTTTTTTACCGAAATAAATGAGGGTCCCGAAAAACCTGTAAATAGGTGTATCAAGACCAAAAGATACGATACGAGTACTTTGAACCTTACCACCACCAACTCCAATTAGAAGAAGTGATTTGTTACAAGTGGATGGGACTAGAAGAGCTAGGGGTAGAGGTAGATCAAAAAGGACACGGGTAGAAGTAGTAAGAAATGAATGATTTAAGCACTAATAATTTAACAATGGATATGGTTTTAAATATAGCAGAGTGGCAAAACAGGATTCATGTAGCTGAGCCCATATAGTTGGGTTGAGGCATGGATGATGATGATGATGATTTTGTCAGTGGATTTAACTCAATTCAGATCAATGTTTTAAAATGCAGAGGCATGATGTGAGGCACTCCACTACCTAGAGGCGTGAGGCATAGTTCAGAACACAAGAGGTGTAAGCGCCTCCTTAAGAGGAGGGAGTTAGGAGGAGGATGAAGAGGAAGGGGGGATCTCATTTTTTTCTTTATTTTTAATAAAAGTCTTTTATATTAAGAAGAACAAAGATGCATAATATTAGTTGAAAGGGGGGGGGGTCTTGTCGAAGGGGCAGGGGGCGAACCACTTTCTTTCCCCTTATCTTTTCTTCCCTTCCCTTCCCTTCTCTTTTCTTCCCTTCCCTTTTTCTCTTTTTTCTTCTCTTTCTTTTCCTTTCCTTTCCTTTTTTTTTTCTTTTTTATCAGATGTGCATGAGGTGCACGAGGCATATGCCTCTAGCACGCCTCATGAAAAAGCGCAAGAGGCATATGCCTCAGAGGTGTCAGTGCCTCTGGCATACACCTCAGGGCGTTTTGGGAGTGTCTCGCATATGCCTCTCACGCCTTTTAAAACACTGGCTAATTTCAAGGAGAGATTTTATATTTTATAGGGTTGGCACATTATAAAGCATTATGCTATTTTAACTACCAAAAAAGCAGTATGCTATTGATCCTTTATAAGAATCTCAGCCCATTTTTTCCTTATCTTCATTGGAGCTCTCCATTTCACATAAAAAATAATTCTCAAATAGGATTTCTTTTTTGAAAAAAAGGTGAAGTAAATATTATTCAAATAGCAAACAGAACCTATGTCCAATTGCTCCAATTAGAACGTTTGTTTATTTTATCATTCCTTGGATAAAAAAAAGGAAACACCAAATCACACCATGCTTCTCTTCAAGAAATAGCTTAAAAACAAATTGTTTGTTTATTTTATCATTCCTTGGAGAAAAAAATGAAACACCAAATCACACCATGGTTCTCTTCAAGAAATAGCTTAAAAACAAATTGAACAATGTATGCACAAATACAAACATATATGCCATGACAAAGGATAATTTTTAAATCATCAGTGTCTTGCTTAGCAGCATGTTTCAATTAAAATACTTAATTAATAGGGGAACATATATGCATGTACAAGTTATTAACTAGTTAGATCTTTTAGAAGAAAGCAGCCAATCAAGAAATATAAAAGAGGCTGACAGAAATGTATGTTGCACATAAAGGGAACAAACAACATAATATTGGATTCAAAGTTCGACACAGAGGGAGATCCTAATTAAACAATAAAAAAGAAAACAATATTTAACAATTTTCTTTCGCAAAATGATAAGCAAATTTCCAACTGAAGGTAAAAAGACAGAGAAGGCCATCAACCTGGGTAACTATAGGAGCAGAAGTACGACCAAGTCCTGAAGAACGCATTCCAGGAAGTGCAGGATCCTGTCCATAAAGTGACAGTCCAGAATGTTGGATTTGTGACTCCAGCTGAGTTTCACGATCGAGAAATAAAGAATCCCTCTTCAATGAAAGTGGGTAATCACTGCTAATTCCAGTTTGAGAAGCTGAATGAAGCAGTGACTGTGTCTTATCAGCCCAAGTGTCTACTGCACGATCTTGTGTGATTGTCTGGGTGTACTGTCAAAGGGCCAATGGCAACGAGTTGTAGTTCATCATATAAAAATAAAATGAACTATCAAATTAAGTAAAGAGAAAACTTACAGCTTTCTCAAACAAAGGAATAACACTTTGATCAACCAAAAACTTCCTCAGGTGCCCCACTACTGCTTCTAGTGCTTTAAGAACCTTTAGAGCTTCTCCTTGTATCTCTACAATTCTCTCATCTGAGGTAGCATAGAACGGCACTTCATCTAGCCCAATAAACATAAAAATTATATTACCATTATATTCAGATTAAACAATAGATGTTTTTTCTCTGGTACGAAAACAAAAGGAAACTTTGAATATGAAAATTGGCATGGGTTATACTTGGGAGTACAAGATGCAAATGAATAAGAAACAGAACCCTGACACAATTGGCTAATTGACATTTAAGTACATTGTTGTCACGATTCATGTAAAACGGTTGTCTCCAAATATGCCAACAGTATTTCTAAGGAGCTATCACTTTTTTCTCACATTCCACATAGCTACAGAAGTGGGACTAGGATTCTCAAAAGGATGGTGATTTGAAACTCTAAAGACAGAAGAAACCATGTTTCACAATAAAATTGGCATCATTAGTAAGTAGAGCCCTTCAATTCAAACATGATCATATTTGAAAACATGATCCTACCCCATAATGGTTTTTAACTATCCTGGAGCAAAATCCTTTTTGACAACCAAGAAGGACCTCCTAAATGAAAACAAAATTGTTAATGTGGAAGAGCAAAACTTACCCCTAAAGCTGTGTTTGGTTGCAGTGCAATTTTATTTGCACTAGTACAAATGCATGAGAGTGCAAATGCAAAAAATGCAAACTTTGGTTTAATTTTGTTTTGGATTTTATTTTATTGTGTTTCAGGTCTTATTTATATCATTTGTACAAAAATCAAACAAAATAGGGTCACATTTGAATAAAAGTTAAATCAGAATATGCACTTGCACCCAAATCATTTGCACTACCATAGTTTAACATCAGTGCAAATAAATTCGCACTGCAACCAAATGCAGCCTAAGGGGATTTATATAAGCCTAACAGTTTAGGGAACATGTATAAAATTATTTCTAAAGTTCTTGCCTAAGGATTAAAAAAGTACTCCCAAGTCTCATACTTGATTTCACCGAAATGAGGGGCCTTTGTGTTAGTGAGACAAATCATCAACTAAATCCCGATTACCAATGAGTGTGTGGATTACAAAAAAAGAAAATTAAACATGCCAATGTATTTTTTGTCCACTTTCAAGCTTCCTGTCAAGGTTACAAATCAAATTGAAAAGTTTATGAGAGACTTTCTTTGGGAACCAAGAGATTCAAAAAAGGACCATCTAGTGAAGTGGGAAGTAGTCTCTAGGAAGCGGGAACATGGGGGTTTAGGCATTTGGAAATATTAGATTAAGAAATATAGCTTTGTTAGGGAAGAGGTTATGGAGGTTTCCCCTCAGGAAACCTCTGGGTAACCCAAGCCCCTCAGGAACTGGGCATGTCTTTAGAAATGAGGCAAGAGTGTTGGCCCTTTACTCGGGCCCCAATAGGTGTGCGAGATTCCTTAGGGGCAGAGGTAAATGCCTTAATCCAAGGTCTCATACTGTTAAAGCAATGGAGAATGCAATAGTTAGAAGTGGAAGGAGATTCCAAGCTAGAAATAGGTTGGATGCAAGTAAAAAGGTTTGGAATGTGGTCTCTCAGAAATCACTAAAAGAAATTTTGAGCTTAGCAAGGGAGCTTGGGGTGCAGTTTAGATGGGCAAGAAGATCAGCAAATGGAATGGCTGATGCTCTAGCTATGCAAGGAGCCAATAGGCAGGAGTTGTTTTGGGCTTGTTTGTAAGACTGACTATGTCTTGGGTTCTCCATCGGGTCTAGTAGTGACAATCAAAATCATTAACCATTATTATCAATGGAAATTATTGTCTCCTATCCAAAAAAGAAGATGCAAGAAACTTAAAATCTGTGGGAGAAATTTTTCATATCAATAAATGGAGACCAATGGTTAACTTCCTCTCAAAATGTATAAACATGAATAATTTTAGTTGGCATCACCATGCACTTATGGAAACCAGTAATTCTCCAAAGAATATATGAGCCAAGTGGGAGGTATAGGTTTGCTGAAATGGAAAAGAATAACAAAACCCTGTTTGACTTCAAAGCAGCAAGAGCAGAGAGGAAGAAACACAAGAGGAAAGTCTTTCATACAAGGCAATGGAGAACAAGGCACAAGAGCGTTTTAAAAAGCGCAAGGGCCAATTTGCGCCTGAAGCGCAAGGCATGTGCGCCTTTTTTAAGCAAGGCACAAAAAGAAAAATGCTAAAATACAAAAAAGAATGTCAAAAAATTCAAAGAATTGCCAAAAAAATTTAAAATTCAATAAAATTATTAAGTGTAATGTTAATAAAAATATAAACTTAAATGTTAAAATAAATGTTTTAAAAAACCTATTATATAAAATTAAAATACATAAACATATCATGTGAAGCGTATTCAAATAAAAATTTAAAAACAAAAGCAAACATATAAAGCATTTTCAAGCATGTAAAACCCACAATCTCTTTTTTTCCTCAATCGCATTACTTCAAGTAGCTAATGTGATGTAAAACATATTGCACTCTTGATTCTATGAATCACCTTTGTACCACGACCCTCGAGGCAAGCTTGAACAAGTCCATGCTAGGGTCTTATATTGTTATTTCTCACATAAAAAATAATGATTTTATAACTTTAATTGCCTTTTAAGAAAATACTTTATTGGAATGAATGAATGAACAACATTAGCAAATAGGGGGTTCACGGAGCTTCGGTGAGCAAAGCAAGCGAACCCCCTATTTGCTAATGTTGTTCATTCATTCATTCCAATAAAATATCTTCTTAAAAGGCAATTAAAGTTATAAAATCATTATTTTTATGTGAGAGATAAAAATTTAAGACCCTATAACCGAAGCAAGCAAACCCCCTATTTGCTAATGTTGTTCATTCATTCATTCCAATAAACTATTTTCTTAAAAGGCAATTAAAGTTATAAAATCATTATTTTTTATGTGAGAAATAAAATTTTAAGACTCTAACATGGACTTGTTTAGGCTTACCTGAAGGAGCGTGGTCGGGGGTCTAGGTGCTTTGCCCCCGGCCCAGCCGTTAGGCGAAAAAAAAATGCAAAAAGCGCAGAATTTTGAAAAGGCGCACACCTAGGCATACCAAGCGTGAGCCTTTTGAAAGGGGTGCACCTAGGACCTGGGAGAGGTGTATACCCTAAAAATAAGGTAAAAAACCTATCCAAGGATTTAGAAAAGGAAGATGTTACAAAGTAAGGGAGATGTTTCGGGCTTCTGTGACAGGTTTCATGCATGAAGTTAGTTAGAACATTAGAAGGCTGAGGAGCACAAGCAAGAGCAAAATCAGGTAAATAATAAGAAGATCCAAACCAGTCATTGGGATAATACAAGATGGACAAGAAGCTTATGTTAAGTCAAGCAGAAACAAAACCTAGGTTTTCTTTCCAAGATGTGAAGCCTCAGAGAGATCACATCTCCGCCCCACAACGCCCCACATCACATCCTTGCCGTGTATTGGGAAAATCTCCCGGTGATGACATCATTGGGATTGGTACTATCATTGGGAGATGTTCACAATACACGGCGGGGATGTGCTGTGGGGCGTTGTGGGGCAGCTCCTGGTGGGGCAGAGATGTGAACTCAACCTCAGATAGGTTAGTCATTAGTGGGAAGATTAAGTTGTGTGTGTTTAGGAGCTAAGAGGTTTTTTTATTCACTTCAATCAAATTAATAATAAGATATGGCTCTGAAAGAAGCATTACAGATATATAGACCATATCACCACAAGGAATTATAAGATTAATAGCAGGAATTGTTGGACATTAGAGATTTGTGAGAGGCCAGTTTTCTAAAACTAAAAGCACAAGGGGCTTTTTGCACCTGAAGGACAAGGCATATTAAAAAATTACAAAATAAAAAATTAAGAAAAATGCAAACTGGAATTTCAAAAAATAATAAATGTTTTAATAAGACTTTCAGTTCAAATTAAAATACACAAATATATCATATAAAGCATATTCAAAGTGAAACTTTAGAAATAAAATCAAACAAAACATATAAAACCTATTCATGCACTCCAAAATTCACGTAGTGAAGCTTTCTATCTGTTTATTTCTCTCCCAATTGCCTTACTTCAGGTAGCTAATGTGATGCCCTCTACCTCCATAAAGGCCCCTTGAAGCAAGTCCAGACAAGTCCACGCGAAGTGCTAAATTCCTGACCATATAGAGAGAGAGATTGGTTTTTGTGATTTTAATTGCAACCCATTATATTTTAGGATTAGAAATCAAATGGTTTTTTATGAAGTCTTTTTTTTTGAAAAGGTAAAGTGTTGTGTTCAGTATGAGCTGTAAAAAGAGTACAAGAGGCTATACAAACAACCTTGCAGCCCCCCAAAAAAGTTCACCTTCAAAAAAGCCCCTGAACAAAAAAACATCTTTAAACAAATCAGAGCTAGACAACCAGCTTCTAAACTCTTCCACTACAAAGTTAATCACCCCAGCCTCAGTCCTGTTTTTTGTTCAAAAATTCTATTGTACCTTTCTGTCCAGATTGCCCATAAAACAGCAGCTAGAACGGCAGACTATACTAGCTTTCCTTCCTTGGAGATAACCAAGAACTCTCCACCCTTGTAGCAAACCAAAGACTGATTCCGGCCAGCACCAACTCAGATTTATTGCTCTAAGGAAGTGCAGCCACACCTCTGCTGTGAAACCATTGTGTAAAAAAAAGGTGATTTGTTGTTTCTGGCACAGTGATTTAAAAGGCGCGCCTAGGCACACAGGTGAGGCGCATTTCAGGGTACGCACCTCACCTAGGTCCTAGGAGCAGCCCTTTCAAAAGGCGCATGCCAGGTGCGCCTAGGCGTGCACCTGATGCACCTTGCTTCAAAAAGGTGTGTGCCTCGCCTTGTGCCTTAGGCGCAAATTGACCCCTGCTCCTTGCGCTTTTAAAACACTGTTCTTGTGCCAAATTGCACAAGGGACAATTTAAATCTGATAAGTTGAAACCCTTCCTACTCAACATTCCTTTGGTGAGACATTTTCCTTTTGCGGCTACCCACAGAGAAAAAAAAGAAAAGAAAAGAAAAAGACTTTCAAAGGAGCTATGGTCTCCAATATGGCTCTAGATGGGAAGGGCTGGCTGTTACTCACCAACAAACCC